TGACCTCCAGATCTAACTTAAAACAAAGAGTTAGAGCTTTACCTTGCTCGGTGGGCTAACCTTCGGAGTATGAGAAGTCCTCTATGAACTCATGGAGACCACATTCAATCAGAGCTGAATCGCTTAGAATAAACTTTGTCCTGCGCTGCTTCAAAATAATCTATTGGATGACTGATCACTCTCCACAAATTAGTGTTTTATGGCATAATTTGGACAATTTTGGTGTGTAAATGTGAGAGTCCTTATCAAAAGACCATGGAAAATAAAAGAAATCACTTAGTTAGATCCTTGAGCTATTATAATTCTCAATTCCCTCATTTTGAATGAATTATGCTTCATTATGGATGTTTTGTATAGGAATTGGAGAATTTGTTGAGGGGAAGCAAAGTACTTTTAAGGCTGTGAAAGTGTTGCTGGAACATGGCAGGAAGATGCATTTATGCTGGAGCTGGACGCCGCTTAGGATGCTTTAGAGCATGTGACTGCGCAGTAATTTATTTGCACAAGTTTTACCGTGTCCGTACAGCCTCCTGGTGGTGCCCTAATTTTTAAGGACGCGATATAAATAGCAGAATAATGCCCAGATGCCACAGAGAGCCCTAGAACAGAAAAAACATTTGGGCATCGAAAAGGGAGAACATTCCCTACCTTTTTTCATCGAAGAATGAGCTGATGGACGTGGCTGATTCTCCTTGGTGTCATCATTTTACTGTTGAGGAGGCTTCTATTTCTCTGCTGTCTTCTTCACAGATGAGCTACATTTCTTCTCTACCCATTATTCTCTTTTCTTTTGTTATGAACTAAACCCTACCTTCGGGGGGATGAACTCATTGTAGCTCTCATCTATTTATGTTTTAGTACTCATATATATATTTATGCTGATTTAATAGAGGTGTTTTTATTCTTTCATCTTACTGATTTTGTTTGGCCAAAATTATAAGTTTGTTTGCTCACTTGAGGCTTGGGAAAGTCCTTGTGTTGCATGTTTGTCTCTATTTGCGTTAGATTTCTCTCTTTGAAGTATAATCGTGAGTACTCCGAGATGAGACCCATTTTTTTGTGCCTATAAACTGTATGTATTGCTTGTTTAGTCTACAACGGGAGTTGGGGTTAAACATGTTTGGGTATCTCGGGAGAGAGCCATGTTGGTTTGGGCATTCAACATTTTGAGTTTACTAAAGCATATCTAGACGTGAGTGAGAGAGCCATGTTGGTTTGGGCATTCAACATTTTTTCATTCTCTGTCTGTTTTCCATTTTCGGATGCTCCAGAGCAAAATCGCAGAATATTCCTGTTCTTGCTCAATTTATTGTTTTTATTGATTTTCTTTACTGCATCCATAAAACTTTAATATTTTATTTTTAATATTGCTTTTGGTATTCTAATTTACTATTTCAAGTAAAACTGTAATCCCTATCGAGGTGACCTTGTTTATATATTACAAATGAGTATTTAATGTATACTTGCACTAATTTTCCTTTAGTTGTGAGGAAGCGAACAAGTTTTTTGGCACCGTTGCCGGGGATTAAGTTTTCTTACTTGATTTTAGCAAATTAGAATACGGGACTTAAAAAGATCTCTTAATCTCTCTCTTGTTCATTTGTGTAGTGAACGAACGATTTTCCTACTTTGGAATTTGAGTTTGACCCAGAAAGTGAACAAACTTTAAAAGTGAACAAACTTTTACAAGGAGAAGGGCTGAGCAAAGAGTCCAGCGTACAGAATAAATTGAAATGAATCCACCAGAGTTGGGAATAGGGAGAGTACAAGAGAATGTAGCTGGAAGACATGCTCTAGCACCTCCTCTTAATGCTGTTATGCTCGCGGATGATATAGAGCAGAAAATTATAGCTTATGCGACCTCAGCATTCTATGACTTCAACCCAGTGATTGCAGTTCCTCTTATTGAAGCCGATAGATTTGAGCTAAAGCCCGCAATGTTTCAGATGCTTCAGACCGTAGGGTATTTTCATGGGCTTTCACCAGAAGATCCCCATCGCCACCTACGGTATTTCATGCAAGTAGCTGATTCGTTTAAGGTACAAAAAGTTAGTAAGAAGGCTATGCGCCTGAAGTTATTCCCTTACTCTTTGAGGGATACTACTGGAGCATGGTTAGATTCCTTACTTGCCGAGTCTATCACCTCATGGAATGACTTAGCTGAGAATTTTTTATGCAATATTTCCCATCATCCAAAAATACAGAGCTTAGGAGCAAAATCAATAATTTTCATCAACTCCCTAGACAGTCCTTGAGTGAGTCATGGGAGAGATTTAAAGAACTGCTCCAGAAGTGCCCTCATCATGGAATCCCACGGTGCATTCAAATAAAGACGTATTAAAATTGTTTGAATGATGCTACACAGTTGATGATAGATGCTTCAGCTAACAGAGCATTATTATCAAAGTCGTATGCTGAAGCCTTCGAATTTTGGAAAGAATCTCACACAATAAGCACCAATTGTCAAAGTCAGGGTTGCTTCAGCAAATACATCTAAGGGATTAGAGGATGATGTCGTGGCAGATTTAAATTCAAAAATTTCAAAGCTAGCAGACATTGTGATGATGAGCATATCGCACTCAGATACCGGAGGATCCAAGGCTAAGGTAAATAGTGTGCAGAATGTTTCATGCCCTTATTGCGAAGTAGAGCATCATTTTGAGGATTGCCGGGTAACCCAGCTTCAATGTTTTATTTGGGTAATCAACAGCTAAACAGGGGAAATATCTATGGAAACACCTACAATTCGAGTTGGAGGAATCACCCTAATTTTAGCTGGGGCAGAAATCTATTAGGGCAGAATGCTGGAGCAACTGGAACCAGTAATGCTCCAGAATATCATCAGAAGGTGCATTATCCACTTGAATCTTCTGGGCAGAATCAACAGGTCGTTCCAAAGCATTGTGAGGCTATGACCTTGTAGGATATGTTTAAAGCATATATGGTAAAGAACAAGGCTTATATGGTGAAGAATGATACTATTGTTCAAAGTCTAGCTGCTTCATTGAGGAATATGGAGGAGCAAATAGGTCATCTAGTGATAAGACTTGATTTAATGCTAAAAAGTGTAGGTTTGCATGCTTAAGTAACTTATATTTGGGATGAAAATGTATGTTCATGCATATAATTTAGGAAAATTGTGCATAATTTGTGATTAGGGACTTTGGAATTCAGTTATAGGTAAATGAAGGCTAATTTGGGTAAATATGCTTATTTTGTAAGGAAAAGTGAAGATTTATGATCACAATGCGTCAGACACATCGCAGGACAAGAAATTCTAGTTTACTAGAGGAATGAGCCAGCCAAGTTACGTTGAAATTACAGCTTCACAATGCTTCAGCCACATTTGATGCCTAGATTGTCAAAACGGGAATAACAACTTTTGACCAAGTAATTGGTCCAAGATTTGTTATTAGTTCCTAAAATCTCTACAACCTCATATGCTTCCAACCTCCCATGCATTTCTCAACATCTTGTTACCTCCATGGCCTATAAAAGGAGCTTCAAAGCATCACTTCAAGACATCTCATTTTTTCATGCTTTGCTTTTTCTATCTAATTCTAGTCAACTTGAGCTTCTAAGTTTTAATTACAGTTTTAAGTTTTGTTCTTCCTTTATTGTTTTTAAAATTATTTTTTCTATTTATTTCATTTCAATTCTATTTGTTCAAAGTTTGTACTTTCCTTTCCATTTCAATGAAAATGCATTACTTTGTTACCTTCTCTTGTTTTGTCATTTATTTTACTTCCATGAGTAGCTAAATTATTTCTTCAACCATCCTACGAATGTTTTAGTTCTTATCACTATAAATGACATCTATCAGTGAGCATGACGTATTACGCTCTCTTTGCTTATCTTGATTGATACAATTTATCCAGTTGATTTTCTTGTTGGCCACTTGTTTAAATCACATTAGTTTGAATTTAATTCTGAAAAGGT